GTTTTATTGGCATCACGCTCGTCTCTTTACAGTAAGAGGTCAGCCCACACCCTAGAATGTAGAATTTTCGGGACAAAAAAAAGAAAAAAAAAAAAAAGTGGGGCAGCGCTCTGGCAAGAAAGCTAGGACTCGGGTGGGGGGTGGCAGGGTCCCAAAAGGCGACCCAAAGAAGAAGACAAGAAACAGGTTAATTGGTGACCGGGCACTTTGGGCAGGGAGGAAGGAGGAGAAAAGTCTGCTATAACCTAAGGAGTATATATTATGTATATATATATACCACAACCCTGAAAGAAAGTGCCTTCGTAGAACAACGGTAAAAAAAAAAAGAAAAAAAGACAAAAAATAAAATTCATCACTAGACAGAGATCTGTTCCATGTGTTTCCTTTCCCTGGGACAGTAAAATAATGCTTTTGCATGTTACATCATAAGGGGAGGAAGGTTTGAAAAGCCTGGAGGCAGAGGGAGGAAGAAAAAAAAAAACAAAAACAAAAATTACTAAACGAAAAAAAAGGCCAGTTTTTGAAAAGCGTTGGAGCAGACGTTTGACAAAAAAAAATAAAAAATAATAAACGTAAAAAAAAGAAAAAGCAGTTTTTGAAAAGACTATCGGATGGAGGCAAGGGGAAAAAATATACGAAAAAAAAAAAGGAGTTTTGAAAAATGTGAGGCTGGGAGGGGAAAAAAAATAATGAGAAAAAGGGAGTTTGGAAAAGCATGGATCAGAGGATGAAAAAAAAAAAACGAAAAATGTGTTCTTGAAAAATGTGGAGAAGGGAGGGAAAAAAATAAACGATAAAAAGATAGTTGAAAGGCGTGGAGGGAGGAAATAAACGAAAAAAGGAGTTTTTGAAAAGCGTGGAGGGAAAAAAAAATAAACGAAAAAAGACTTGAAAAGTGTCGAGCAGGGGGAAAAAATAAACGAAAAAAAGGGAGTTTTGGAAAGCGTGGAGCAGAGGGGTGAAAAAAATGAACGAAAAGAAGGGGAGTTTTGGAAAGCGTGGGGCAGAGGGAAAAAATAAAACGAAAAAAAGCAGTCACGAAAAATATGGAGCAGGGAGGAAAAAAATGAAGAAAAAAGGGAGTTTTGAAAAACTGTGGAGCAGGTAGAAAAAAACGAAAAAAAAGGGAGTTTTGAAAGGCATGGGAGCAGACGAGGGGGGAAAAAATAAACGAAAAACTAACAGACACTGAGATTTCCATTTCCGAAATAAACAATCCATTCTATCGATCGCACGTAACCGTCGCGCACTCTGCAAAAAAAGATCAACGCGTTTTGGGGAAATTTAGACGGGAGGGAACTACTGTACACAAGGATTTCCCCCTCTCCCCGGGAAGAAATGTGAAAGCCTTTTTTTTTTTTTTGGCTCTAAATCTTTTTTTTTTTTTGACATTAAAAAGGTGTCCATCATTTCTTGGCTGCGTCTGGGGACTTGCGGGGTTCCAAGAATCACAACTAAAAAAAAACAAACAAACAAACAAAAAAAAACCACTCTGTGAAAACGCTGCGCCAAGGTGGGGGACGTTTTCCACACATCATCCGGGAGGGATTTCTGGCGCCTAATTTCATTAACGGGTTTTCTTTTCTCTCTCTTATTATTTGTTTTTATCGGTTGCATATATTAACATGTACTATAAGATTTTTTTTTTAAAGAAGCCATTTACATAATAATAATAATAATAATAAATGGATACTTGTAAAAAGATCTGATTAGGTTAAATAGTGACAAGCGTAATTTAACAGATTACATTACAAAAACTCAGCTGTGGGGGTGGGTGGTGGAGAGAATGTGGTGTGGGGTCGGACTTGGGTCAGGGCGAGGGTGTGAGCCTGTGAATGAAGCCAGGTCGGGAGTCAGGGGTCAGCGGCCTCTCCAAGGTGTGGGAGCGAGGGCGTGCGGCGGGCCTTCCAAAAATGGGGGAGGTCAACCACAGAAGGCCTTTCGAAAAAAACAAAGAAAAAAAAAAAAAAAACAAAACAAAAAACTAACAGACCTGGGATAACTCATGAGACACGGGATCAACGGTAAACAGTTCTGGTCTGTCTGTCCGTCTTTTTTTCACCAGTTGGGACAAAAAAAAAAAAAAAAAAAAAAAAAAAAGGTTCCCAGGATGGTGGCTCCGTGAAATGGGAACGGCGGGTCAGCCTTGTTGCCGGGGACAACTCAAATCGGGGGGGGAAACGGGGAAGCCCCCGACCTCACCACCCCCAGCCGAGGAAGCCGGCCCAGGCGCGCGTCGGATCTTTGGTAGCGCGCGTCGGGATCTTTGTTGGTTTCGCGTCGGATCTTTGTTGGTGCGCGTCGATCTTTGCGTGCGCGCGTCAGATCTTTGTGTGTGCATGTTGCGTGTCTGTCATTGTTTTGTGGTCATGTGTGCGTCATGTGTGAGTCTCGTGGGTTTAATTTGCAGCTGGACGCGGGCAGACGACCGCTGGTTTGGGCAGGACGCGGGAAAAGGGGGCGTCGCGTTGAAGGCCTAAGTCGAGCGCCGCGGGGCGGGCGGGCTTCGGGTCCGCTCAGATCTCTCCCGGTTTCCATGGAGACGGGGCGGGGCCACAGCCCGGTTTCCATGGAGAGAGAGTGGTTAGGGCGCTGTTGCCAGGGGAGGGGCCGGTTTCCATGGAGACGGGGCGGGGCCACAGCCCGGTTTCCATGGAGAGAGAGTGGTTAGGGCGCTGTTGCCAGGGGCGGGGCCCGTTTCCATGGAGACAGGGTGGGGCCACGGCACGGGTTCCATGGATTGGGCAGGAGGAGGGGGCGTTGCCAAGGAGGCGGGACCGGTTTCCATGGAGAGGGGGCGGGGCCACATCCCGGTTTCCATAGAAACGGGCGTGTGGGCGGGGCCGTGGCCGGGCTGAGGGACCCGGGCGCAAAAACGCAGAGAAGCCACCGAGTCGCCCAAAACAGACACTCCAGGCGCGGGAGCCGGGCGACCCTGCTTCACCGGGCGGTGACCGAGGGCTGCCCGGAGGCGGCGGCCGCGACACTCATCGCTCAGCAAGAAAACGTCTTGCTCGCGCCCGTCGTCCCCGCACTCCGGGAGGCCGAGGCCGGAGGACACGGTCGAGGTCGGGAGTTCGAAACCAGCCTGAGCAAGAGCGAGACCCCGTCTCTACTAGAAATAGAAAGAAATTAATTGGCCAACTAATATATATAGAAAAAACGAGCCGGGCGTGGTGGCGCATGCCTGTAGTCCCAGCTACTCGGGAGG